ATGACCATGTGTGCTATTTATATTCGTCTTTGCCCATAAGGTAAACCTATTGCGCGCATACAGTTAGGGACATGTTAAAGTGGACAAAACAGTTACGGACATGTTAAAGTGGACAAAATCTCAAATTGAAAAATTAAGGTGAACCTGTGTATTTAAATATTGTCATTCTGCCTAACATCCAATTTAGTATCAATTAATTTCCTTATTATTCCCTTTGTCTCATAATAATATATGTTTTTTTAATTTTTATATTGAAAAAGTGTTTTGTAGGATAAATTGTATATTAAAAGTACATATTACCTTATAAAGTTATTAAAATACTCTTAATGAAACTATTTCTTATATTATTTTATTATAGTTGTTTTAATAAATTCATAGAGCAGATTACACTTTTAATGTATAATCTAAATTGTAACATATAAATCCCTTTTTATATTCATATTAAGGATTTGGGGACAAATTTTCTTTTTTCTATTTTAGTCTTAATAAAAAATAAAAATAAAGAAAATTTTTATTATAAAATAAATAATTAAAATTAAGATATAATTTAAAATATAAAAAAAATATTTATCTCCCTAAAAATAATATGAAAAAAAGAGTGTCATTGTAAGATAAATTCTAAATAAATAAACGGAGGGATCACTTAACACTACTGTAACGAAGGAGGGAAGTTGGTTGGCAAATGGCAACTTCAAAAAGGCCGCATGCTCTTCCTCTCTCTACCAATTGTGTATGAAGTTTCCTAATTTCCAAAGTGAAGACTTGGTAATCTTATTGAGAAGTACTCCAATAAAGTAGGGATGGCAACAAGATTCTATGGCATCGAGGAGTCTTTCCTCGTTTCTATCGATCCCTGTGAATGATCGGGATGGCGATCTTTACAAGGATTTTTTACAGATGACAAATTTTGCCTCCTATTCTCGTTTTTTGCAGGAATCCTCATTCTCCATCAATTTATATCAAAATATAAATTTTTTATATATAGTTAACAATATTCAATTACAATAAACAAAATTCTAAAAATTCAAGTACAATTAACTAAAATTCTCTAAATATAAATTCAAATATAAATAAAAATCAATTCAACTTAAATAGATAAACCAAAAGACTTGTTCCAAACATAAATAAATATCAATCCAACATAAATAACTAAACCAGCATACTTGGGTTAGGTTTAATTTTTATTAAATTGGGTTTGGGTTCTAAATATATATTATATATTTATATAATTGGTCGAATTAAATTTAAAATAAAATTAATTTATTTTTTAATTTTTTGTGGGGATGGAGATCCCTACGGACTCTACAAAGAAGGGAAAATTCCATGCATAATTTTGTGGAATAAAAATGCCCCTTATTCCTGCCGCGAAGAGGAATATTCCTCCTCACTCGCCCCATGGTGGAGGTCCCTATGGAACCCCATAGGGATTGACGTAAATTGCCACCCTTAAATCAGACGTCAGGCTCAATGGAACCTTGTTTCCACTTTAAAACTAGTCACTTCTTGTTGGGAATTAAATCTCCCTCTTAGCACTAGTTAGTCCAACTAACAAAAAAACTATTACTAAATTGCCTAAGCAGATTAAATAATAAATTAACTAAAAAAAAAAAAGAACAGTCAATTTATTGTGAAAAACTCTTTTAAATGAAGGTGAAACCTCGAATAAGAGAGAAAAATCTACTATTAGGAAAAAATGATAATATTAGAAACTTAATATCAATTTGCTCTCTAAAAATACTTAATCTCTCTTAAGAACTCTCATTTTATCTTTTCTCTCCCATAACTAGAAGTTTCAATAGTTTCAAGAAACTTTTCATAAACTATACATTGTTCAAAAGTCCTTCTCAATACTTTAATTAAAAAGAAGAATCCTATGAAGGCACTCTCTCTTATTGCCCACATAAGGTTAGGTTATAACCACACCATATCACTTAGATTAGTGTTCCACTCACGTTTCCATCCTCATAACTCTTGAATGGCTAATAATATATATTTATATTAAGGTTCCATCCTCATAACTCTTGAATGGCTAATAATATATATTTATATTAAGTTACAGGATTGGTTGTTATATAATAACATATAATGTATTTATATTAAGATTAGTAGTTCGGCTGCTATTAAAAGTCCTAATTACCTACTGTCTAAATTGAAGTCCACCGAAAAAGGGGAAACAGATCTCCTGGCACCAACCAAAATCTGGAGTCCACTGAAAAAGGTGCAAATCTTCACACAACAACCAAAATCTACCGCAACAACGAATTACCTTTTATTTTATGCTTGAGCGTCCGGCACCTTAAGACTTGCTGCCCTTTTTTCCCTCTTT